CTTCTCTTTTAGAGTTGGTTTAGTCGTCGCAATTCGTCGCCACAGATGCAGCACATGCATCTTGCGCAGGGGTACTTCCCAGCTGCGGCATTGCAATACGAGTTTACTTAGATTTAATTCGATATCCTAAGCATGAATATCATATCAGCTTAGACCTAAATCGCCTGCCGCCCGCGTCACAGGCACCAGTGCCATAACCTTAAGCACCAAATTTGCTCAAAGCTTGTCCCTAGAGGTAGTTTGTCCTCCCCAACATGAATCCATTGGCACCCATGAACCCGGAACCACCTGGCATCTGTGTCACAGGGCTAACCTGACCCCCTGAACACGAGTGCCACCTCTGCATGGAGCGAGGTAAACGTAGAGGAATGGTTGGGGGGGGGGTGTACACTGACAGCGTAGCCTGCTTGCTTGCCTCCCTCCGCGCAGTACAGTACCCTATTTGGCTGCCTGCAATAGTGCTGCTGAGACAGATCTTCAGCAAAGAGAAGGATCACTATCACAGGCGACCAGGAATATCACTGTAAATGACCGTGTTTCTCCAACTGCCGTTTACGACGAAGGTCGTTCAGGGCGTGCCCCGCTTTTTCAAAATGGTTTTTGCATTTTGTAGGGGCTTGAACATAGACCACAGAAGTGGGGTTCATTTTCGCTGAGCGGCCCCAGGAACGCCAAAAAAGGAGTGAAAAGTACGTTTTGTACCCTCATACAAAGGACGTTCAGCGCTATACCGGCGCCAAAAAAGCGTCGCCGTTGAAAACAAGTGTCAAAATCGTAACCGGGACCACTGATCACCGCTATAGACGATTTCTCAGCCAAAATTTTTTTCGATTTTTTGGGTTGTGGTAGACCATTTGGTCGGCAGTGGTGACCGGAGTCTCACATCCTCGTAAAGATGATGACGTGACGACGACGTAGCAGGCCGCCGGGCAGGACAGCCGTGTCGCAAGGAGCGCGCCCAAGGTCCTGTCATGCTTGGCATCAGTGAGAGTGGTCGGCATTCGTGAAAAAGCACCTTGGGCCTTTGTCGATTCCTGCCGCCTGCTCGCTCAATAAAGATGTCACCGAGAGAACAGAAATTGTAGTCATTCAAAATCCTCAACTTTTTTTGAAGTCAACCTGGACGAATACCTCCCTTTCCTTCCTCTTTGCATGAATTTCATCGATATTGTTACTTTTATCTTTGGATATTAATAAAATAGGGGGTCCCTATGGCGAGGCACTGTAGACTTCTATAGAAAGACTGTCGGGCACAACCCAACGCACACACCCAAAAAAGTCGAAAAAAATTTTGGCCGAAAGATTGTTTACAGGGGTAATCGATGGCCCCGATCACGATTTTGACACTTATTTTCGGCGCCAACGTAATTTGGCGCCTGGATAGCGCTACACGTCCCCTAAATGTTTTCACTACAGTCCTGCTTAATGGTATGTAAAATCCTCTAATAATTGGAACAGCATCGATTCATGGCGTGTCCCCGTTCAAATATGCCCATAAATGGTAGTTATAAACTTAATACTCACGTACAAAACATTTGAACAACAAAAAACAGTGAAACATGAAAAATGCAAAAACTTGCACGCCTAAGAGAACCATCAGCTTCACCCACTGTCCGATTGAGAAACCTCCACGATACCCACTAGGCCATCCGTCCGTTGTTGCTGGCCACTCCGTTGAAGACACAATTTCCAAGGAGCCAATCACTCTTGATCTTGTGCCACAAGTAAGACCCCATACCCCGACTATTTTTCTCTTTGATTCCAACAGTACCTTTATAAGGACCCTCCACTCAGCAACTGGTCAAAGCTTCAAGCGGTTTACAGCACGAAGAGGCTCAAAAACATCAATTCCATAGATTTCTTTGTCGCTCCTTTTTTGGCATTCCAAGGGCCGCTCAGCGAAAATCAAGCCCACTTTCATGGTCAATGGGCAAAGCCCTACAAAATGCAAAAACCATTTCGAGAAAGCGGGGCACGCCCTGAACGACCTCAGTTGTTAGTACGGAATAGCATACACACGACTACGCGATCATGCACAAGGGTTAGAAGAGCCCTCGTGCCCGTAATGCAAGCTATTGGCGATTCGGTATTGAACGAATGTGGTATTCATTCACAGAGGGTCGGATTACCCCTTGGGACAAGTTTTCAGCGAATTGGTGATTCGTGTTTTGGCGACGGCGCCTGTGGCCTAATTTCGGAAGGGTGGGCAGTGTAGGGCAAATAGTACCACACTTCCTTGTGCTACATGGGGACGCATTTATTTCGGTGCATTTTCCTGTTCACTCCTCGACACGATGGGTTTTGCCCACATTACAAAAGAGAGAGTGTGAAGCCGTTTAGTGCATTCAAGGAGAGTTATACTCGGCTGGTGACGGAAAAACAGCCTTGTTACGAGCGAAACTTGACACACAAAAACTTCTCGCCCTTGAAGTTAACGGCATTATCGAATAACGTGAAAGAAGTTGCTGCATTCATTCAAACTCGTCCCAAAGAATGGAAATGAAAAAACTCAGTAATGATGTTGCACAGGCAGTTTTTGTGGGAGGCTGAAGATCCGAGCAACGCAGTGCTCGTGGTCGAAGATTTCCAGGGTCAAATACCCGCTTGCATGCAATGTACACTCGCCTGTTTCTATTCAGCTGGCTCTGAGATTCCAACTTTCCCACAGTTCGATTCACCATCGGTCAGATTAATCCATTTTCTTGTAATGTATCGATTGCTCCAAAAATCCTGGGACACTCCCTATCGCGGGTGAGGAGCACTTGATTACGTATAGTTTGTGACATTGCAATCAGTCGGGGACGGGGTGACGAAGGCGGGATGATCCCGCCTACGGCTGCCTTGGTCTACCAATGATGATCGGGTAGTGATCGGTTTAGGAAGAAAACAAACTGTCAAAACGCCGCAGGTGGGCGACTGATTACGACTCGACCATTGCAGTGATATAGACTGTCACTTTATTTGGATGTGTCCGCCTTTGCGTTTTCGAGGGATGTTTCCGTCTGGGACGGTTGCATCTCTGTTCAAGACAAGAGCACATGGTAGTTGTCTCAAAAGAACATATCCCATGAAAAACACATGCTGCGCCTTCTCCATATGAACCACGTCCTCTCTATCCGCGGGATAGGGAGTGTACATTGGGTTTTCAGCGATGTTTCCTCATTCAGTGTTGATAATAACGGGGATGCGGGGAACGTTTGAGGACGAAGTACCTCGAAATATCACACAACATTATCCTGACCCCCGACGAGCTTCGGGATTGTTGAAATAAGGATGATCCGTCACGGAAAGAAGCAAAGCGGATCACCCGTGTTTTGGAATGTCCGACATTTGTTTTTCCTTGTTTCTAATCGTTGGCACTGATATATTATGGCAGAGCAGGTATGCATCCGTGCCATACCAAGCGCATCTGCGAGGTCACATTAGTCTTACCTATATCCTTCCTCAGCCACAGTGGGTTACGGTTCCATCTGGTTTGAGGGAGATGTCATCGGTTGAAACATCATCCAACAATGGCTTCTTCGCAATGACCAAGCGTGCGGAGGCCCATTCTGGAAGATGGCGCTGCCCACAATCATTGAGGATGTCCCACCTTCCCGAATCGAACGCCCTGGATACTTTTCCGAATTGAAAACGTTTGATAAGAGCACCACGTCTTAGCAATCGGAAGCTGTTCGTTTGGGGTATTTCCGACATTTGACTTGCTCTATTGCTGAATGAGGTTACACTCACTTTGCTGGCGCTCGCTCTGAGACATAATATGGGTTGAAACAACATAGCAGCTAGCACTTGTGTTCTATAATTCTAAGTTCAATCAACCGGGTGTGGTGTGAAGTGGTCCTACACGGCATGGTTCCTCCTTTCCATACCATTACACTCCCAGCGATTAGAGACAGGCTCGAGCAATTCGTGGTCTTCCTACCCTGTGCAAGTAGTCCTCTCCCAAGCTACGAGCGCTAATGGCTGATTCTGCTCTCCTTCATTACATTTCTTCATCCAGAGCACATCCATCCAGTAGCAATCCATCTCGCAAGGTAAGACTTGTTCAACTCATTAGGGATGCAAATTTTTTGCAAAGGTTTGACGTGCATCCACCGTAACTAAATTCGCACGCAGTTTCCAGAATTAATATTCTGTTGCAAGTTTTGCACCACTGTTTTTGTTGTTTTTCGTTGCATTGGGTGGCATCAAGCACTGGAACATGCGAGAAAGCGCCTTGTGAGCCAGGACTTGCGTAGAAACCACTTGGTATCGAGTTGTAAGCTGTTCGAAGAACTCGTACAGTGAGGCTGTGTGAGTCTTTATCGTGATCTTGGAGATTCTTTTTGTTTTTTCCTTATTTCGGGAGTCACTTACCGGCTACTGGTTCGCAGGTGAACCCCACATCCATGGTACTTAATCGCGAGTTGTAAAGACAGGTTTTAGATAATAAGAATCACCCTAATAACCATGACCGCGCCCGGTGAATCGCTGAAAGGGTCGAGGCAGAGGTAGAGGTCTAACTATCTTAAATAGGATTGGAAACTTAAGGCAAGGGTGGAAGTGCTGCTGGGCTGGTTGAGCCTGGCTTGAGGAAAACGCGGACTGGCCGAAGGTATAGTAGTGAGCGCTAGTAACCATGTTGCTAGGTTGGAAGTCTCCCGTAAACCAACGTGAGCAGCAAACCATAGGCGCTTCTGACATTGTCGGATCACACAGTTCAAGGATCACTAAGAATGAAGTAGCGAATCGCGGCAGTCACGACGTACCAGCTGCGCTGTACTAGATCCATTTCGCGGCCCCATGGTCAGGAGAGATCCACCTCCTAAACGTGTATGTCAGAAAGCCAATGGCCTTAGTTGCTCAACTTCACATGAGTCGCTCTTGCTATTTTTATGCTATGCTGTGATGAAATCTGTGTCTCAAATGCAGCAGAGCTTATTTTTCAATTTAATGTTTATCGAGCTAGAAACAAATAACTTGTTGAACTGTGTAAATTCTACCATAATGTTCCATTGCAGATGCGTTACCTTCTTCTTTTTACTGCTGGTGTGGCGCTTGCTGATTTCGTATCTCAAAATTCGGGATACGAAGCTGCTGAAAAGTTACAACCAAGTCCAGTTCCTCCGGTATCTGCTAGTGGAGGGGATCAGCAGGCATACAACACCGACGGCAATCAGAATCCAGAGGCTCCTCCACAGGACCGTCGCCCACCTTCACCACCAGCATCAGTCCAGAGTCCGCTTGCACAGGCGCCTCCATCCTCCCTTCATATACGGCCACCACTCACAGCACCATCTCCACCTGGCTTTTCAGGACAGGGTCAGCCTCCATTTATTGGATCGAATTCATCTGTACAGCCACAACTTCCTCAATCAACCTTCACTGCACCTGCTCCACCTCCTTATCCACCACAACCTCAACCTAATCGTCCAGCATCGGCCGAACCTACCAAAGTACAATCATCTCCACCTTCGTTCCCAACTCCAGGAGCGAAGCCTCTTACTGGGGAATCCACGGTACGTTCTCAGTACTTCACGTTCTGTTCTTGAGGGAAAAGGAGGACACAGATAACGACTCAAATTTAGGCTGGAGACGATGGCGGATACAGGACCCGAGTTCGTGCTCACTGAAATTACTAATCACTTGTAGCTGAGAGATTTTTTAGCTTTTGTTTGTTTTTTTCCGATATTGAATAAAGTTTCCGCGTCATTATAATCGAAGTTTACTGTGACAACACAACGAAATATTTTTGATCAGCTTTTTGTTCGTCGGTGTGATGTAATGTTGGTTCATTTCCCACATAACATGGCACTTATATACACAAAGCATATATCCTACTATATATAATCCGCTAAGTATGTCTGTAAGTGTGTGTGTGTGTGTGTGTGTGCGTCCTGTCTGTCTGTCACGAAATTCATAGCGAGCGTCGCAGAAAAGATAGGACGACAGTTCCAAGAAGTGATATACATGGCAGGACGGGAACACTTTTGGTGGGTGATAGAATGTGATAGCACCTGATAAGATTCGATAAGGGGCCTTAGAAAGGGAGGGTGACCGAGCCCATAGTGCGGGACACAGTAACAGTGGGACATTGGTTCCAAGGTATGATATAGGACGTGGGACAGGAACATTATTGATGGGTGACAGGGAATGATAGCAGCTGATAAGATCCGTCAAGAGGCGTCAGAAAGGGGAGGGTGACCGAGTCCATAGTGCGGGACACAGTAACAGTGGGACATTGGTTCCAAGGTATGATATAGGACGTGGGACAGGAACATTATTGATGGGTGACAGGGAATGATAGCAGCTGATATGATTCTGCATAAGGTTACGTTGGAAATGTAACGCGTCACCATACTCATTAAACGCGGAACACGTACAGGCATTAATTTCAGAAAATGATATAGAGTTGGAGATGGGGACACGGCACGTGAGGTGATAACAGCTGATAGGGGCTGATAAGGATAAGGTTCAGTCAAATTGCTGGAGCCTTTACACTACCAAATTACAGAGTTTTAGTCATAGGGACATTGATGACGGGCGACAGGATCTTATCAATTGATAAGAAAGGATAAGGGGCCATTATCATTACCTCTCTTATCACTATACCCCAAGTATCAAAGGCTCAGTGTGCATACTTTTCCTTTAGCCATCACTTCCCTGATTGCCCTAGAAAATGAACTCATCCCACTATCCTACTATCCTACTATATATAATCCGCTAAGTATGTCTGTAAGTGTGTGTGTGTGTGTGTGTGTGTGTGTGCGTCGTCTGTCTGTCACGAAATTCATAGCGAGCGTCGTAGGAAAGATAGGACGACAGTTCCAAGAAGTGATATACATGGCAGGACGGGAACACTTTTGGTGGGTGATAGAATGTGATAGCACCTGATAAGATTCGATAAGGGGCCTTAGAAAGGGAGGGTGACCGAGCCCATAGTGCGGGACACAGTAACAGTGGGACATTGGTTCCAAGGTATGATATAGGACGTGGGACAGGAACATTATTGATGGGTGACAGGGAATGATAGCAGCTGATAAGATCCGTCAAGAGGCGTCAGAAGGGGAGGGTGACCGAGCCCATAGTGCGGGACACAGTAACAGTGGGACATTGGTTCCAAGGTATGATATAGGACGTGGGACAGGAACATTATTGATGGGTGACAGGGAATGATAGCAGCTGATAGGATTTGATAAGGGGAGTTAGAATGGTAAGGTCACCATACTCATAACGCGGAACACAGCATCACCTAGGCATTAATTTCAGAAAATGATATAGAGTTGGAGATGGGGACACGGCACGTGAGGTGATAACAGCTGATAGGGGCTGATAAGGATAAGGTTCAGTCAAATTGCTGGAGCCTTTACACTACCAAATTACAGAGTTTTAGTGATAGGGACATTGATGACGGGCGACAGGATCTTATCAATTGATAAGAAAGGATAAGGGGCCATTATCATTACCTCTCTTATCACTATACCCCAAGTATCAAAGGCTCAGTGTGCATACTTTTCCTTTAGCCATCACTTCCCTGATTGCCCTAGAAAATGAACTCTTCCCACTAGATAATGCCGATGTCGAGTTTGCCTGAAACAGGAATCTGAGGGAAATTCGAGGAGAACCGAAAAACACGAGCGGATTGCATGCTAATTGAAAAGGGAAACATACATCGCAAGGCATTTCGGTACAGGTAATGGAAACGAATTCTACTCTTTTACTGAGCGATTCATACTGCCCTGTATTGGCCGACTACACATTGTATATCTACAGAGTTATGTATTCTATGGGCGTCATGGCGCGGACTACACCGCTGCTGTAAATAGAAGCGCGTGCTGAGTTGTGCGGGATCCTAAGCCTTGCTCTGTCTGTTACGATTCGATCACTACAGTGCCTTATGAGCAGCGCACTACCGAAAAAGTTCCGTTAAAATTATGGAGCCGCCTGGCGAAGCCAGGCCAGCTCGGCGAAGCCGAGCTCAAGAGAAGGAGGAGAGCACGGCGTCAGCCGTGCGATCCGACTGGTATTGTATTAGGCAACCAAAAAAGTTCGTGCGGTTTTGAAGGTAGCGAAATAATAACATAAAAAACGGGTTAAACTTGGATTTATCCCGTAAAATAATTACCCTCAGCAAGTAATACACTTTCCCATTTAGACACAAGAACATATATTCCATTTTTGTAAAAATCTTGCTTCTGGGAATCAAAGAAATGTTTTAGTTCGTTGTCCAAAGCCACTTCATTTTCAAATCGCCGATTCCTCATGTGGTTGTCCAAGGCCAAAAACAATGATAGTCACTTGGAGCAAGGTCTGGCGAGTACGGAGGGTGAGGTAGAATTTCCCATCCTAGTCGCGCTATTGTTTCCTGAGTGATTCTTGCAGTGTGTGGTCTTGCATTGTCCTGGTGGAAAACCACACCTTTTCTGTTCGCCTTAATTGAAAGTAATCTAAATTAACAAATACACTGAATGACACTCCTTGACATATGTCTTAACATGTATTCAAAGTTACCCTACCACTAGATCCAGTTTACTGAATATACTTCATAAAAGTAAACAAAAAAAACCGTACGAACTTTTTTGGTTGCCTTTTGAAATGAGGGGCATGCTTTAATGCTTTCCATTTTGAAAGCACATCCCATTATCAGTTATCGCTGTGCATAGTATCATAGGGTTCTGTGGTTACTCCTCTGACCGATTCCTCTCTCGGGATTGTCTTCAAAAAATACGTCACAGCCCACGACCACTTACTATTGTTTTTGAGGGAAGAAGACTGTAATATCAGTGACAAATGCGTTAACTGCCGCTGACCACATATCTATAGACACCCACATTCTGAAGCTGTATGGCCAAAATCCAGGTTGTTTAGCGGTTGAGGATGATCTATTGATGAGGAAATGGTTTCTGATGGAAAAAGATTTATGCTTTCATTACTTAGAACCTATATTTGGCTATTTTCTGTATTCTACAGAATGAACCTCACTTGTTTACCTCTACCATGATATCAATGTTGTTTACCATTTGTACATTCACTTCCTCCCAGCTAGGAGTATGGTTCAGTTGTTGTGACGCGGTTCGATGAATAAACATCCGACGAAACCCTCGAC